AGCATAAACACAGTAGCTCACAAGAATCAAATCTGTCTGGGGCAGCCCTGGTCTTTGATGAAATGCAGCCATTTTTCTAAGAAAAGGAACAGCCCAGGAGCTCCACCTCAGAGGGAATGACTTCATTATAATCTGAAAAATGGAAGACAGCTTAGCCACCTGCTTTAAAGTAGGAGATTAATACTTTCTGCAGGTTAGTGGAAAGGTAGATGAAATATTTTAGACTACTTTGCACTGACCTTCAGAAAACTGCTAAAGAGAGCTCTGTTAAGTGAATCTCCCCCCCCCCACAATAGTACACCCCATTCATTTCCCCCCTTATCCAACAAGAAGTAGAGAACCTCAAGTTTCCTTAGTTACAAGTCAAAGAGGAAGTTCCCGGGGAGGAGCTCCGCTAGCAGGTATAAGAGGGGTGGGTGTATTGGAGGTCAGAAGGGAAAGACAATGGCCAGGGGATTTCTGAGCTTCGGGGCCAGGGAGAAATAGTGGTTTCTCTGTCATCACCACTACACAGCCAACTAATGTGATTTATCTGTAATTGCTAATTAAGGCCAGTGACGTGGGAGATGGAACAGCCTACAGATTCCAAACTAAATCCAAATACTAGTGGGCTGTTTGCTGGATTTAAATAAGGTTATTTCATCAACATTTTCACTACCTTCATGAGACAAAAAGGACTTATATAATGTACATTTTAACAGAAGTTCTCAAAGTAGCTTTCTTTAAATACCCATGTCTGGGGCAGTTTTGTAAGAAAAATAATAGGGAAAAAATTGCATAGTTACAGCTATAATCTAAGTAAAATGATGCTATAACTATGATTTATTCTTCCTGTACAAGCAAAGAAATCTATCACTGATAAAACGAATATGATGGTTTCATAGAGCACTGCACATTCTCTGGCATTACCTACTGTTGTAGTTTTAGGCACAAACTCCACATTCACTTGGATCTCTATGTCCAACTGACCATCAGTGGGAAAGACGTTGGGCAAACAGATCAAAGAGAAGGAAAGTCAGACAGCACTCCTAACCCATTAGAAAAACTGAACCCATTTCCAGGTGCTTGTAGCACTGGGGTAGTATTTAAACTTGTGGAGAAAGAAAGGAAGCAGCTGCCCTATGAGGTCTCTGGGTCAGACCATTGCTTCCCATGGTCCTCTCTGAGCTGGTCTAACAGGCTAAGTTGGTAATTTAATACCAAACTAAAAAAAAAAACAAAAACTTGCTAATCCATGTTTTCATAAAGATTTTAACTCAGTGAACAGTGTCTGTAACTGCAATGTTTTAGAGCCTAGCAGACAGCTTTGAAACAAATGGCTAAACTTTTCAACCACAATAGGAGGCTTTCTGAGGAGCCAGGAAATTCCATGTAGCACAATGCCAATAAATACTGAATAAAAGAGGGTTTTCTGTTTCTAGATCCCCAAATCTTACATGGATCACTTAGGCTACTTCTCTAGTTCTAGAACCTATAGAGGGGCTTCCTTGGTGACTCAGCAGTAAAGAATCCGCCTGCCGATGCAGGAAATGCAGGTTCAATCCCTGGGTTGGGAAGAGCCCCTGGAGAAGGAACTGGCAACTCACTCCACTATTCTTGCCTGGGAAATCCCATGGACCGAGGAATCTGGTGGGCTACAGTCCATGGGGCTGCGAGAAGTTGTACACAACTTAGTGACGAAACAACATAACCTATAGAGCAACTCCTTTTGAAAAGGATTAACAGTAAGCTGCAAAAGCTAGACCATTTCTCCTTTTATTCTTTTTTCTTCCATACAAAAGTCCAACATGAGAGTTCAACACTCCTCTAACTCCTCAGTTACCGAGTGATGTCAATTCCTCCTCCTCAGGAAGGCTTACAAAGTAGCTCACTTTCTAGAATGGTAAGCAAACCACCTGTGACTCAGGTTGTGACTCACACCCCTCTGATCCCCACTGAGAAATCTTACCAATTCTCTCTCTCTGGTACCCTCTAAAACAAAGATAATTCCTCCTCCCAGTAGATCTTGAGCAGTCTTACTGGCAGCCGCCTCTGACCATAACCACAGTTCCTACTTGTCCTTCTCTCTCCTTCTCTATTTCAACCATTGTGATCATTCGGGATGTATTGTGGCAGGAAGATAAAGTATAGTTCAAGGTTTGAGGAAGTAGTTCATCACAAAGGAAGCGGCAAGACAATGTTAATGGTTAATCCGGGATACAGATGGATATGCCATAGAGTACCATACTGAGGGAGGGAGGTTGGGCTGCCATGGTGGCTAAGATGCTTAAGAATCTGCCTGCAATGCAGGACACCTGGGTTAGACCTCTGGGTTGGGAAGATCCCCTGGAGAAGGGAATGGCAATCCACTGCAGCATTTTTCCTGGAAAATTTCATGGTCAGAGGAATCTCATGGGCTACAGTCCATGGAGCAGGGAGGTAGTTTGGTGCTATGCGCTCTGCAGTCAGACCGCTTAAGTGCAAATACAGGCTCTGTTAAGGTGCTAAGACTCTGGACAAGCTGCTTAACCATTCAGTGTCTGTATCCTTATCTATAAGATGGAAATGTTAGTACCTACCTCACAGGACTGTTGTGAGACTCAAAGGATATGATACAAACCTGAAAGCATTACAATCACTGAACAGTAAGCATTATGCTAGTTACTTTTGAAATGTATAGTATGTATACATTCATGAAATGTATAGTATGTTCTTTTGAAATGTATAGTATATATACATTCATGAAATGTATATATACTATACATTTCAAAAGAATGAGGCAATTCTATATTATTTTCTTGGAATAAAGTCCATGACATAGTGTTTTGTGAAACTACAGAATAACATGCTTAGTTTGAGTCTATTTGAGAAAGGAAAAAGAAGATCAGGATATATATTTATAGGTGCATCCAACTAAGTCTCCAAAGGCAGGTACCACTACTCAAACACAGAATTGCCTGGGTAGATGGGGGTGGCTTACATTTGTATACAGGTCTTTGCTTGAATTCACAAGTATATATTAATTTCATAACTAGCTTTAAAAACTAAACATTTCACAGTGGCCTTTCTAACCTTCCAATTGAACCTCCCTTGGAAAAGATTAGCTTCTTGGAGACAAGGAAGCTAAGGCCCAGGTAGGAGGAGGTACAACTCCTGCCACGGGCCGCATTTCAGATTCCCTTACAGTCTGTATAGCCCTTTGCACATCATCTGCTTAACACAGTTTTCAAACTGATCGTTTTTCTCCCCCCTTCCCCTTCCTTCTTGCTATCTGAGGTACTCCTTTTACTGTGTTCAAGTAGCTTCCACATTGTGTTTTAACATCTTTCTTCCTAGCTCTCATAACTTTCTCACCACTTGCCTCCTTATCTCTGCCCTTCAGACCTAGGTGCCATGGCCCTGGTGAACCCACTGGAGTGACAATGGGTCCCTACACATTTTGACAGGCATAAGCACCCCTTTTACAGAACTGTAGGACAAAATTTGCTCCGAGTTGATTTTTGCCTTGCAAAAGTCCAAACGATCTTCCAAGCAAGATGGAGGGTTTGGCGGAGTCCGAGGTGGTATTTCGGTCAGGAAATAGTACTTGCTGCTTTGGAAGGCACTTTTCAACCACACAAGTGTTTTTGCTAGCTTTCTCCTGAAAGGTATAATAATACTTTGTACCTCCCTCACCCCCAACGCTCTCTACCACGCCTGCCCTTTATTATGTGTTAATTTTTATTGTTTTAGCACTCATCACTCTCACCTGTTTCCTATTTTTCACCCTCTAGTCACCTACCGCCATTTATACATATTTTCTGTTTCAGCACGTGGGGAAACAACTGTATGACGAAAGGGGAAGGAAAACAGAATTCGGAGTTCTCGGAAGAGGGTCTTGCAAACTGTCTGTCACCCCGGAACCCGGAGCGTCGGGGATCACGCCTGCTCGGGGCTATCCGGGCCACCAGGACAGGGTCAGCATCAAAGCGCCCGGCTTCGGGAGAGCCGATTGGTGCCCCGAGGAACCAATCAGCGGGCGAGGCTGTGCACCGGCGGGGGAGGGCCCAGATTATAGAGCGGATGGAGTTAAAGGAAAAGGGGCAGGTGTGCCGGGCAAGGTTTCGCGTGCACTTTTGCACCCACCGAGCCCCCATTAATCCCGAAACTCTGGTCTCCTCAATTCTACCTTCCGAATTTCCCAGTTTTATGACGCTGTGTATAGGAGAAATAAACAGCCCTTATCCTACCATTCATAAGACGCTCAATGGAAGAGCTGTAGAGTTGGGGGGTGGGGAGGCCATTAAAATCCTTCCTCTCTCCTTTCCCAGTTCCACTCCAGGTCGTCAACGTAACTCAGTCGGTTCTTGAAATAGTAAATCACTCAACCTCTCACTTAATCGCCAAAGCTGATTACCAAAATGCTATCATTAGGCACCTGGAAGAAGTTGCCCCCTCCCCAAGGACTAGGGGAAACAGTACTGGCATTCACTCAAGGCTCAGGGTTTTCCCAGCCGCAAAAGAGAAGCCAAGAGCTCTTAGGCTGAAGTCTGAGACCTTCTGAGCTGTGCGACCCAGCGCCGGACCACCGCCCCCAACGCCCCAACCCCCGGCGCAGCGACAGTTTCCCCAAGCTCTACCCCACAAACTTCACGCGGAGGCACCGATTTGGGGGGAAGGGCGCACAGACACCAGATTTCCCTGTTGTGTTTCAAACTTCAGCAGGGCTGTTCCACGCACTTTCTTCCAAGTGACACAGCCCCCGGATTCACAAACGCGTCCAGCCTTAGCTTTCCCACGGTCCAGCGCTGCCACCCACCACCCAAACCCGGGCTGGAGACGCCGCGTCCTTGGGGCTGGGGGAAAGGGGAGGAGGAGAAGAGAGGAATGGCCAGCCTAAGTTAAGAGGTGCCCTCCGCGGCCTGGACGCCGGCAGCCAGCGGAGGGCCCTGGGACCGAGGAACAAGGAGAGCGGAGAGCTGGAACCGTGCGGGGAAGGGCCGCGAGGAGAGAAGGGGCGCCGCCGGTGTCGCTGCACTCACTCTGCGTAGCCAGTGGCCCAGGGCAGCCGCCGGGTCTCCTTGAGGATGAGGATAGGGCGGGCGATGTGGTCGGCGCTGCACTCCACCTCGTCCTGAGACAGCCCCAGGAACTCGGGTCGCCCGTAGGGGAAGCGCAGGGGCAGGTCCGAGCCTCCGCAGCCGCCGCTGCCGTGCTCGGAGCCTGAGCTGCCAGCCATGATGCCGCCCATGAAATTGGCCACGGCAGATTTCACTCGAGTGAGCATATTACTCCGGAGCCCGGCAGCAGCGGTGCGAGCAGGGGGCGGCGGCGGCGGGGCCCGGGCGAGGCGCAGCGCGGGGCATGCAGGCTGCGGCGGGCGCCGGGCGCACGGGCAGCCGGGCCGCGGGGCGCGCCGCGCGGCTCCCAGAGCCTACTGCTGCAGGGGGCCGAGCCCCGGCCTCCCGCGCTCTGTGCCGCCGCCGCCTCCCCCCGCTACACTTCCGCAACCGAGCGGCATGGAGCGGGCCCCCGGCCCAGCCGGGGGAGACGCCGAGCGCTCTGGGAGCGGCTGCGCGGCGGCAGCTTGCAGCGGGTCCCTTCCCCGCCCGCAGCGCCCGACTCCTGCGTGAGCGGAACTGAGCCCACCCAGCGAGCCCGCGGAGCCGGCGCGGCTGCTGCCACGGCTACCGCCGCCGTCGAGTCATGTGATAATCCCGTTGCAAGGGCTCCAGCGGCTGCCGGGGCCGCAGCTCGGCCCCTCCCCTGCCGGCCCGAGCGAGGCTCGCACCCGGACCGCGACCTCCTGTGGGAGGGGGGCGCCAGGCCCCGTCGGTACCCGGCGGAGGGGATGGGGGGCGCTGTGAGCCGGTGGCCGTACAGGTATCAGGGGAGGTCACGTGGAGCCCGGCCGCAGGGAAAGGCCAGTTGAGGAATCCACTCGCGGAGGAATGCTGCCTACGCTTTCAAAAAGGGAAACTTTGGGCGCTGGAGGGGAAAAGGTAGACAGGTGGAATCCTGATGGGGCTGCTCCAGGTAGTGGAGTGCAAAAGAGGAGCACCTGGTGTGAGAGACTTCGGAGCAACCCTCAGTGGTTGCACAAAAATCATTAAAAGTTTTTCCCGAGGCATTTCTAGAGTTACTTTTCTTGTTCTTTCAATACCGCCACACACATCATTATCTGCGGAGCAGACCCTGTTTCGAAACCAGAGTAAGGTTGATGGCCAAGAAAACAAAAGAGCTCTAAGAGATCAGAAGCAAGCACTATTTTACCTAGTGGTTAATTGCTTGATAGGTTTATACAAGCATTTTCCTTCAACATACCAACAAAACCAGAGTATCTTTTCAGAGCTGACCCTGTTTACTATTGATGCACTTAATGCAGCCTTTGCTTTATTCAAAACATTGTTATAAAATTATCTAAGGGCACTTTAAAATGGAAGGAATTAAAAAAAAAAACTCCAATGCCAAAGTAAAAATGAATAAATGTCTGCAACCATAACTTTTTGTGGTAATCTTGTATTAAAATGTTTGCGAAGAATCGATAAACGTGCTTCATCAGGGGGTAACGTTTGTTAAATATCGGCTTAAATTTTTTTTTTTTTTGGCAAGAGAGCCGTGTCCTGTTCATGTTTACTTATTCTGTTTCCTGTTCCTGTGTTTACCTACAATGTAATTTGCCAAGATTCTGTGTTACTTGTGGAGGTACATACTGAAAGGCTCACTTGGAAATCGGGAAGGAATACAGGCCCTTTTTCAGTAAGTGGGGGCGGGGGAAAGAGCAGCCCAGGTTTCGGAGGGTAAGAAAATTCTTTGAACAGAATTAGCATCCTGGCTTTTAGGGGAGAACTGAGTAAACTTCACTGGTTCTCTTTATTCAATATCTATACTTTTAAAGGCAATTTCTCCTTTGGCTTTTTCATGAATAGGTGCTTCGGTTTACTATATAGCAAATGATTATGTAAAAAACAACATTCAACTTTTCAATGAATATCACTCCTGTCAATGAATTCTTTAATTTTTTTCTCAGAGGTAGCTGAACTGGTAAAAAAAATTCGCCTGCAATGCAGGAGACCCCAGTTTGATTCTTGGGCCAGGAAGATCCGCTGGAGAAGGGATAGGCTACCCACTCCAGTATTCTGGCCTGGAGAATTCCATGAACTGTATAGTCCATGGGGTCGCAGAGAGTCAGACACGACTGAGTAACTTTCAGAAGAGAAATGTAGTTTTTTATCTTGGCCCCCTTTCCCTAATTTTAAAATTGGGAGCAGAATTGATAAAGATGCAAAAGCTAAAGAACCATCCCCCCCAAAGTCTTCTCAATCTTTGCTTTGTTCATTGTAAACTGCTTCTAAATGAGAAATATCAATGTAGTGATTCAACAGCCAACCAACTATTAATACCTGCTCCAGCATCCACTGAGTATAGAAACTTGAGTCTCCTTGTCAAGCTCTTGTAGAACAATGACCTTTTAACAACCTCCTATGGATACTCCCTGCTTCCCAGGTAGCTCAGTGATAAAGAATCCACCTGCCAAGCAGGAGATGCAGGTTCAATCCCTGGGCTTCAAAGATCCCTTGGAGAAGGAAATGGCAACCCACTTCAGTATTCTCACCTGGAAAATTCCATGGACAGAGGAACCTGGCAGGCTACACACCGCTGGGTCCGGAAGAGTCAGACAAGACTGAGCAACTAAACAACAGCTACAACATAGATACTTCAGTAACAAATCTCTATTGAGATGAATTTACTACTTTCTTCCCTTCATTTCACCTTAGGGCAAGGCTTTACTAGAGGCTTTACTTTACCTAAGGCTTTACTTAGGTATTTACTAGAAAAAAGATTTATTTTTCAATTTAAAAGTAGTACCCAGTCACAGTCAATAAAGTCCAATAGTACAGACTGTAAACAAAAAAAGTGAAAGACCAAATCATTTCCCTAGGGGATCACCCCTGTTAATATTTTCTGTAGGCTTTTTTGTCAAGTAGGATATTTATCATAATTAAATTTGGTAATATTAGCCATATTTGTGAACCAGCATGTTGTAAGAAGTTATTTTATGTTTCTCTGTAATCTGGCTATTATCTGTCATGGCAAAGTTCTGGCATATCTTTGTGCACAGCAAACTTTGTTCTGCTAACCACAGGCAAAACAGGAATGCTATGCCTGTTCTTTGAATTTCTTTGGTATGTGTTCACAGCCAACCAATCAATCAACTATCTTATCTTTATACCCACCTCTAAGGTCAGTGTCCCATCCTAGGGTTTTTCAGAGAAATATTTCCCATATAATTTACTCCCCAGTTATGTCACTCATGAAAATCAGTGCTTTAGTTAAGCGGTAAAATTGTCATTAAAATGTCATCGCTTTTGGAGAAGGAAATGGCAACCCACTCCAGTGTTCTTGTCTGGAGAATCCCAGGGACGGCGGAGCCTGGTGGGCTGCTGTCTATGGGGTCACACAGAGTCGGACACAACTGAAGTGACTTAGCAGCAGCAGCAGCAGCAGTCATCGCTTTTAGGGAAGCCCCTGGAAAAGTACCCGTCATACCTATTACAGATGCAAATTTGGTAGTATTTGTGCTCCCAGATTTGAAGCAGTTATTTATTCCCTAAATCAAATGGCATAGTAGTCAATGGGTTTGTTATACTTTGTGTGTATGCTCCACTCATCAAAAAGTATCCTTCATTCGTCTCTCTTGTTAATCTCTTTTCCCCTGAAAATTATGAGTTTGAAGCCTTTAGTAGAATATTCATTTACAGGACAGATACATAGACCTTATATTTGGATGTTCTTTGTGTAAACATAATCTCATTTCTAGGCCTATGATATTATATTTTTGACTATTTAATGACTCTTTGCTAGCAACAAGACTATTTTCAAGAGAAAACAAAGAAGGTATGGATGATGTCTTCAGTCAAAACATCAAGGAAACCCCCCAACCCCAGATATTAATGAATTACAAAAGGAAAAGCAGTGACTTGCAGTGAAAAAAAACAAAGTCCTGGCAGTCATCACCTAAAACAAGTGATCAAGGTTAACATCCTGTACCTGCTGGCATTTCGTGATGAAACTAACACGTCACTTCATGGTATTCTTCCCCAAATCCTTAACCTCTGTATAGTCATGAGAGAACATGAGTCAAACCCAAGCCAAAGATACTCTACAAAAATACCTAACCAGGTATCTTCAAAGTGTCGAGGTGGAGGGTACAAACTATTGGGTATAAAATAGGCTACAAGCATGTATTTGAAAACATGTGGAATAAAGTCATTATTTTGTAATGTGTGTGTGTGTGTGTGACAGTTGCTCAGTCATGTCTGACTCTTTGCAACCCCATGGATTGCAGCCTGCCAGGTTCCTCCATCCATGGGATTTCCCAGGCGAGAATACTGGAGTGGGTTGCCATTCTCTTCTCCAGGGGATCTTCCTGACCCGGGGACTGAACCCTGGTCTCCTGCACTAGAGGTGGACTGTTTACCATCTGAGCCACCCAAGTAATACTATATGTAAGTGGAGTGTAATCTTTAAAAAATAGTATAAAATTGTTTTTTAAGTGTCCAATTTCTGTAAGTCAAGGCAAACCTGCGGAACTGTTAGACTGGGGATATAAGGAGCACAACCTACTACAACAGCGTATGGGCGTTAATTTCTTAGTTTTGACGTCAACATTAGGGGAAAACTGGGTGAAGGGTACATAGGAACAAAAATTTTTTAAATAAGATTTGGGTTTCAAGTAGAAAGCTCATTTGCAAGTCAGGCCATAAGAAGGATGAAAGTGAAAGTCGCTCAGTCGTGTCCGATTCTTTGTGACCCCGTGGACTATGCAGTCCATAGAATTCTCTAGTCCAGGAGTACTGGAGTGGGTAGTCTTTTCCTTCTCCAGAGGATCTGTCCAACCCAGGGATTGAACCTAGGTCTCCCACATTGAGGGCGGATTCTTTACCAGGTGAGCCACAAGGGAAACCCAAGAATACTGGAGTGGGTAGCCTGTCCCTTCTCCAAGAAGGAGGAATAATGCCATTCCAGGACTCAGCCCTCTCAACAGCAGCAGGTACATACCTCCTCGAATTGTATCCATGTCTTCCCATTAGACAGTGAAGTCCTATAGGGTAAGAACATTCTTACTCATCTTTGTATTTCCAGCACTTCGCCTAATGCCTAGCAAGCTAAAGGGCTCAGTTGGTAAATTCTCTCTCTTTTTTTTTGGCTGTGCCATAGCACATGGGGATCTTAGTTCCTCAACCAGGGATTGAACCTATGCCCCTGCAGTGGAAGCATGGTGTC